ATTCAAATGTTTCTGATCCTTAAGGAGTTCACAGTTCAACATGGACATGAAATCATTACAACGATAGTTCATAATGTCCTGTGACACAGAAGGCATTCAGGAATGAAGTCCCTGAGGGGCAACAGGACTAGTGGGTGGCAGACATGTTTTATCTGGGTTCAGGGTTCTGAAGGAGGCATAGACTGCAAATCACTCACTCCTGGAATAACAGTTCCCTAGGCTTTCATGACAATATTTTTCCAAGCGACCTATTTCATGGCAGATTCTTGATGTCCCCTCCTGTGACAGCTGGTAAATGCTGAACTTTCTCAAGCTTCTTTTTAATTCATTCTCCCTTTAAATGGTTCTTCTGATAATTGTGAACAGCAGCACCTCAGCCCTGATGACTGCCAAGTCTCCCCTCTCCTCTGATCTTTGGACTCATATTTAGTTGTCTATTTTCCCACTCCATCTGCATCTCAAACTGATTTTGTCAATTGTCAACTTTCTTTCTTCCCTCCAACCTGCTCCTCCCACAGTAAAGGTTATCACAATCTACCCAGTTGTTCCAGCCAGAATCCTGAGTCATTTGTAACACCTCCTTTCCCTTGCCTCCCACATCCAATTTATCACCAAGTATGTTCACAGGTTCCTGAAACCCTAGGTCTCAAATCCATCCTCTTCTCTCCTTCCTTCTGTGACTACTGTGGACCAAGGATCTGTGAATCTCTGTCCTTACTCCTGGATATTTCTAATTCAGCTCTCTATTCCACATCAACCAGCTCCCTGCCTGCCATTCTCCAGGCAGAAGCCATTATGACCTTTTTAAAAGCACAAATCATTATCTTCTAAACATCTTTCAGTGGGTTGCTTTGAATTTAACAGTTCCTAATGCTTAATGGGATGCACAGATGTCTGTCAGACCTAGCTCCTGCCTGCATCTCTCCAATCTTAACATTTCCCCTTAACTCTCTTAGTCTACACTAGTCACATGACCCCAGCTTTCTTGCCTTCCGACTTTTCTTTCTGTGGGGAAGGCTTTTAACAGAACACCTGATCATTTCCTGCTTGTTTCAAGTCTCAACTTAATGTTACTTCCTCACAAAGGCTTTCCTTTTCCTCAGATCTCCACTTTTCTTCTATCACCTGTTCTTTTGTTTTATTTTTATGTTGTTTTATGGGTATTTTCCCCCCCTGTTGGAGGTTTCTGGATGATTTTCACAGTTCATTTTCCTCTTTAGTAGTAACACAATTTAACCAGACACACAACTGATCTGATAAAGCCTGTTTCCCTGTTTGGCTGCAAGATGTGGCCATGTGACTGAGTCCCAGCCAATGGTAAGTAGTGGACATAAGGGGCATACAAACTAGGGTTGCCCTTAAGGGATGGGGATTACAGTTTCCATGAGCTGGAATGTGAGCCCAAAGCGATCAGCTGGGTCCAGAGATGAAATCCTTGTATTTGTGTGGATTAGGGAGTGGAGGCCAGAGTAGGAAAAGCTACACTACACGAGAAAAATATTTCAATCTCATTTAACTACTAGACTTTTAAATCTATTTGCTACAGTATACTAGGAGGCCTTTGATGGATTTGAAGAGAATCCAAGTCTCATGGTAGCATATCCCAGAGGAGTAGTGCAATGTAAGGGGTGCCCTATGGGGTTACACAACCTGGAGGGATGCAACCCTGAAGAGAAAGTATTTGTAAAGATTATTTTGGCGACAAAACAGAATGGCAATCAACAAGAGAACTCACTGAACGCAGCAGGCCTAGAACAAAATCCAAGGAAAACTAAAACCCAAGTGGAGTACGCAGAGGGGTCTGGCCAGAGGGGAAGAGGAAAACCCAAGGCTTGTGAGTCACAGCCTCAGAGGAGAGAGTTTCAAGGCTGGGCATCAACAACATCATGTTACTGACAGGTAAAGAAAGAAGTGACACTGCGTTCACAAAAATAAAACCCCCAGTCCTCCATGGATAAGCATGCATATTTGTAAGTATTTAAGTGAGCAAGGAGGGATAAGTGACTGAGAACCAGGGCTGAAAGTCAGGCTGTAGGCTCAATGTAGAGTCTATCTTTTGCTAGTGGTGTGACCTTGGTCAAATTGCTTCACTTTTATATGCAGGAGTTTCCTCATTTGTAAAATAGGATAATCACTCCCTTGCCTTCATGTGACTGCTGTGGGGATTATGTGAATAATGTTAATAGTACATTGAACCTGCCTGCACATGGAAGTCTTTGTTTTAGGAATTTTTAAAAAATTGTTGTTACTCACTACAATATATTTATCTTACTACCTAAGAACAAACAATTCTGCCAAAGGAAATAACAGAAACAAACATTATGAGGCAGACAAATGGAATTAAAGAAGTTTGTGAGATAAAGTTAGTAGTGTATACATGACCTGAATTTAAAGGGAAGGTTAGAAAGAACAAGTGGCCATGAAATATTCTTGATACACTAAATATTCACAAGACATCAATGTTCAGGAAGTCGTCAGATGGTCACCGGCAGCACACATGAAGGCTATATTTCTGTCTGAGAAATGCAGATTAAAATCCACAGCTACTCATCAGACCACATGGTGAGCGACAGTTACAGCCACACATTCTTGCTTCTGTGTGTCCCAATAGAGCAAGTGCGTGCCCAATCTGGCTACCACGCACCTTCTGGTCTGACTCAGCTGAGATTAGGGGAAGAGATGAATCTACGAATGTTTAAAGAAATACACCATCTGTTTGTGCCCTATCCTATGCTCCCTTTCCTAGCCCCTTACCTGGCTTTTTACTATATGTTTTAAATTGCTTCAGTAACTGGGGTAATTTCAGCCACTTAATTCTGTCTTTGAGCCTTTCTGTGGAATAGCATCTAGAATAGCCTGACTGTACTTGGAAGCTAATTTCCCACACCACACCCACTGGTTACCTCACAGAGGTGGAGGTGAAGTGGCAGATGACCTTTTCTTTATGCACATTTGTGTCTTCTTTATTGATTTTTTGTATTATTTTAAAAATTATAAGGAAATTCAATATGACCCACTAGACACAGCCAGAATTACTGACTGATTAAAAAGCATTGTGACTGCCAGGAAAAAATTCCTGCTCTTAGAAGGCCAGTTAAAACAACACTCCTGTGGTGATTCTTAAGGTACTGGTCCTATTTGAAACAGGAACATAAGCTTTGATCTCTAGGATGACTTGGCTTTACCTTTCAGCATAAAGCTGCCTTTGTAGACCAGGCACTAGCCTCTTTCTCCAGGTTCTTTCCACTTTCCACCCTCTCCTCTTACACACAGGAAAGGACAAATCAGATCTGTGGTCAATTTACTTTCTTTTTCTCCTCCTCCTCCTCTTTTTTTTTTTTAAGTTGCTTCTTTGACACCTGGCCAGATGGGAAGAATGATGAATGTCTCATAACAACTGGGTATTTTATGAACCATCCAGTCCCATATAATACAGTGAGAAGCAGTTGTCTCCAGGCCACACCAGAACAGAATCTATCATCCTTGGTCAAATAATTGCCTTTAACATTTTCATCTGAAACCCTAGCAGGCACTGACTTTCTCTTTTATGTCTCAACATTTCAAGTGGATTTATCATGAATATAATATATTGTAAGCTGTAGGAACCTTTCCTGGATACCAGGAGGAGCCCTAGAGGCTTTGTAATTGTTATACTTTTTCCTAAAGAGGGAATCCAGATTTGAAGCCCCAGAGCCTATAAAATTCTCTTTAGTAATATCTCATGGAGTAGAGCAGAGCTTGGATTTTAAAGGAGTCAGCCCTCAAATTGTGATTTTGGATCAGTTCTGTTAACTTTATTTTTGGAAATCTTGGTTGTAACATCAGATTAACATTATTACCTATACCTACAGGATTATGTTAGGCTTAAATGGTATGTGAACAATGCTTTGCATATAATATTTTTAAGTGTTAACTACCATTATTGCTACTGTTAGAACAAATCATAAAATCTTGAGATCTGGCATCCTCTAAACCCCAGGCACGCAAACATAATTGCCAAATGGAACCTATGTAAAGTCCACTTTTACTCTCTTTCCATGTTTAACCAAAAATACAACTTAATTCTTCACACACACACACACACACACACACACACACACACACACACACAAACATATACACACACCGGATTTCATGCATTTGATCAAGCCAAGTTGGTGTACCCAGACATCCCTCAATGCAAGCTCATGTACTGGGATCTAGTCAGCCTGCCTAGAGTCACTCCCTTAAAGAAGATCAGCTGTCCCTTACGCAGCAGACCCAGCAGTCTTTTGGGGGGGGCTTTTTTTTGGAAACAGGGTCTCCCTGTAGTAGCCCCTCCTGCCCTGGAACTGGATATGTAGGCCAGACTGGCTTCGAGCTTACAGAGCTCCTCCTGCCTCTGCCTCCTGCGTGCTAAGATTAAAGGTCTGCAGTACCACACCCGACTTACCCAGTAGTTTTAGTGTGACACCTGCCCCTTACTCTTCAGCGAGGCGCCATATACTCAGCTGCCCGCTAAGGGTGCATTAAGCAGCTCGCCCCTGTTCCCACCTTGAACTTGGACTCACCACATGTTGTCTGCCTCTCTTCCCCTGCCCCATCTCTCTGCAGGTCAGCCTAGGACAGTTCACTAAGGCTGTGCCTAGACCCAGAGACCATGCATCAACAGCCTTAGCTTTGCGTGGGGCACCCGTGAAGTGCTTATGAAGGGCTGTCACACACACACACCCCCAGCCCAGGTGACCACCTACTCTGGGCCTCAAGTGCCCTGTGCCTGTCCAGGGCCTGCAGTTTGTTTCTGGGGAGCCAGACCGGGCTCAGCGGGAGTGTGTGAAGTGCGGGGATGGGGATGTTGAGGGAAGGGACCTCGAGGGCCGCTTTCCCCTTCTGGGCGTTCCTCCCCAGCTGGGCTGGGGCCTGGGTCCCCCGGGACGGCCCCGGCGGGGGAGGCCGGGAAGAGGCGGCCGACGCATCCGCCGCCGCCGCAGGAGGCGGAGCGCTGCACCTGGCGGCCGGTCTTCGGCGCTTAGCCCTGAAACGGGTCCAGCCGGTAGTGAGCGACGGCAGCGGCGGTGAGGCCGGGGCCCGGGGACCAGAGCGCCGAGGAGGAGCGACAGGAAGGTCTCGAGGCCGCCGCCCCCGGCCACCGCTGTTGCTTGCCCCACCCGCCCGCATCTCGCTGCAGCCCAGAGCCGAGGAGCCAGCCACCCGCCCGACATGCCGCTCGCCGGCCGGCCAGCCGCCGTCCGGGCGCCCCGAGCCGCCGCCCCACTCTCCGGGGACCGGGCTCCCCGCGCCCCGCGCAGCTGAGGGCCGCCGTAGGTGAGTGGGCGGGGGCCCCGCGGGATCGCGGTGCCGAGCCTCGCAGCACACCTGCTGCAGGGTGGGCGCTGCCCAGGCCCCGGGGCTGCCAGACCCGGAGTCTCCCGGCCGCGCCCTCCCTCCCGGGCGGGTAGCTGTCATCTTCCCAGGGTACAGGGGAGCTGCGCGGCGCCCCCCGCGCGTCGGTCGTGGGCAGCACTTCCGCAAACGTAATTGGAGTCGGAAAAACAAAGGCGCTGCCCTGGGAGCCTGTGCGGGCCGCCGAGAGCAGCTGCCGAAGGTGGGGGCGCAGGGTGGGCCCCAAGGTCCAAGCTCTTCACAGCAGGGCCCCACTGTCGCCCCAGCCGTAAACATCCTAGGGAGAAGGGCGCGAGTGCTCGCGCAGCCCGGATGACAAGGACGTGGCCACTTGTGTGGCAGGAGGAAATTGACATTGTCTGCCTCCCCACAAGAACAAACACGGGGAGCGGCACACCTCTTCCTCGGGCCTGCCACCTTCCTAAGACAAATTCTCTACCCGGTGTGTGCTGCTTCGCTTCAACTCGGGGATGGGTTCCCTCCCACACAAAGAATCCTCTGAATTTCAATAAGATGGTGAAGAATTCCAGATGCAACCCGGTCCTTTCTAAAGATTTAGCCCCCTCCCCACGTGTTCTTGCAGGTGGCTCACTCCCCTAAGGCTGGCACATCGTGCATTTTTGCCCCTCCCACACGCATGCGAAACTACACAATTTCCTTTTCATCCCAAAATATTTAGTAAGCACTCCCCCACCCTCTGGAACATTTAATACCTGGCCGATCCACTGTGAGAGAACCTTGTGGAGTTTGAAGTTCAAATCCCATAGTTTTGTGTCCTTGAGTTTGTCATATTGTCCTGGTCTCCAGTTTTCTCACAGGTAGAAAAAAGATGGACGGCTAGTTTGCCGGCCAAATTTCCCTTAACCTTTCTGGAAGCCCATGGTATTGTGTGAATCTGATCTCTTCCGTGTAGATGAGTTGGTGGCACACAGTTTATGTATTACTAGCAACACAATAAAGGAGGGGAACATTTGGTAAATCTGTGTTCTGGGCAGAGTATCCCTTCCCCCAAGACAGAACAGTAGCTGGTTAAAAAGGTGCATGCATATTGATGGCCTCATTAAGTAAAAGGAGAGGATAGAAGGCTCTGCACTGAGAAGCTTGGCTTTTGACACTCAAAGCTGCTGATTATTAGCAGATGTGGAGGAAGGATATGCTCAGTTAATTAGCGATAATAGGATGAATGGCCTTTTTTGCAAGTTGCAAGTTGTAAGTAAAATTTAGCATTGAGTAGCCGAAACATTGTTAATGAACTCAGTTCAAGACACATTTGGAGAGTAGAAGAGGATTATTATATTAAAATAATGCATTGAAGCTATTAAGTATTTTTACAATAATTTATTTCCAAAGCTACCTATACATAAGGTAAATATAAAACTGAAGACAAGCTAAAACACAGGGACAAAACAGCAAGGTCTACACATGCTTGGTGGTGTGGATACTGGATCACCAGTTCTACTCATCATTTGTAACTTCTGCGTTATCAATAGTAATACAGCACTGAGTTTCTTTTATTTTTAAGGCACCGTCCTGAAGTTCCTAAATCTATAAATGTGTTTCCCTTAGTTTTGTGCATCATGCAAAGGAAGATCAGAAAGGCTAAGCAACTTAGACTAACCACATAGTCAGTAAGAGGTGGGGTTAGGTTTGACCCCATGCCTCAGGCTCCAAAGCACAGAAAATTTCCACATGGTGTCCCTCCCTACTCAGAACCTATTAAGTCTCGCCACCTACACAGATGTTTTGTTTTGCTTCTTGCCTTTGGAATTTAACCTTTCAACACACACGTGTTACATATGGCAACGTTTATCCATGTAGGATAATCCATATATTTACAATGCATATGAGTTAGTGAATGTATAATATGCTCGCCCATTTATTCACACCACTTTTGAACTTACAGGCAATGTAAAACTAATATTGCCAAAGATTAATTTAGCATTAAATAGGTTTTTAATTTTACTTCTTTTGAGCTTCAGTCTTGATTTAGCATTCTTGTGCAGAAACGGCAATGCAATACATGTATGTCTGCTAGCTGCACTAGTGGCTTAAGAAGTCAAGGATCTTAAGTGAAAAGGCAGGTTGCAGGAGATACACATTACTTAAACCTTACTGTGGACCCAAATATAAGTACTTGAAACCTTAAGGAAGTGGATGGAGTGGAAGTAAAACAGTGATTTTTTCTTTTTACCTTAAAAAGTTAGGTTTGGGCTCAAAAAATTGGATGGATGGATAAATGTTGCCATATGTAATGTATAAAATAAAAACAGAAAAGAAGAATAGAATTAATTCACATTATAAAAGTCTAGAATAAGAGAAGACTGAGTGCACCACAACAACGTTGCTAAGAAAATGAGTCTCAGGAGGTCAGAGAAGGTCTAAGAGCTGCAGGTGGATGGGCAAGAGTCATGGCTCTCAGAAGACTGATTTTTCCCTTTGTCGAGAATTGCGCTGTATATTCTACCACTACCTAGTTTTTCTGCTTGATAAGAATACTTTAGTGCATCCCACAGGGTATCTACTAGATCTAGACTGGAATGTAAGAATTCCTTTCTCTCTGTGTTGCTTGTGCAAGCAAGGTAAAACTCTGGGAGGAGGTATCATTTTACTTGCTGTGTCATCTTGTGAAAATACAGCATTCTGGATGACTTTAGGTATAATTATTCTTAGCAGTGTAATTTCAGGAGCAGCAAGTTATCAAGTTTCATTTGATACATATTTTTATATATTAATATGTATATACTAAATACAACCCCATAATTCTCCCCAATACTATATAAATTTGACCAGAATCAATATGTTGAACCCTTTTTAAAAAAACAAAATCAATACATTTACCTGTTCAGAAATAGAAATCCAAAGCAAAATCCATTCAGACTTTTCTTCTTGTGTTTTATTTGTGAAGAAAATCTGAGTAAACTTGGTTCCTTATAATGTAATGTGGCTGTAATGTAATCCTTCAGAAGAGCTCTTTGTGAAGTTATTTTGCAGAGGAGATATTATGACAGTTTTAGGCTTCATGCAACATTTCATTTAAGGTTTTAGTTTGTTTCAGGCAGAAAGAAATCTCAATCCTTTGATTTGGGATGCTCTGTTAATGCAAATGCAAAGTCCATCCTAGTAATAAGGACAGTTTGGGTAAGACTTTTCTCCTTAAAGCAAAACTATCATGGCATTTCCCAGGGCACAGTAGTTTTGGATTCTTGGGAAAAGTAAGCACATGTATCTGATGTCAGTTCTCCCTGAGGCAAAACACACACCTTAGTGTCTCCACTGAAGAAGTTCCATTTAGGTTTGTAATTCCTCCATGGTTAGTTACCCAATATTAGCTATCTGGGCATTTACTGTTCTGGCCTTGAGTGTGTGGTAGGGGCTTTTATGAGCCTGGTTTTTTTGGGTTTTTTTTCTTCCTTTTTTTATTTAATAGCCACATGATTAGAAGAAGCATTTCATTACAGCTTTAACATGTTTGTTTTCTTGAATCCTGATTAACATGCTATCCAGTTAGACTCATTGTTAGAGTCACTACCCTTTCTTTGTAGCTGTTTTGCTCTCTGTATTTGGGAGATGCTTATTTACTATTTTGTAAAACAGCATTGTCTCAGTTCATTGTGCAAGTTTTGGAAACTACCAGAGTCCTTTGCTAAGCCAAATGATGTTTGATTCATTGGTATGGAAGCCAAAACAGAAAACCAAAACAAGTTTTTTGAAATGTAGAGCCTAAACCTTGAGTTTGTATCTGCTATAGATATTACAGTTCTGGTTGCTACTTTATGTCTCTAAACAGTATATATTTATACCCCTACCTTAGCCCAACAGGAATGAAGCCTGCCACCCTGTTGTATGCATTCAAAGCAGCCGACTTATGCCTTGGTTCAGTAAAAATTTGTAAGACTGCATGAGCTGGAGGCATGCTGATGATGGTATTGAGGGCATGTCAAAGCTTGGCAGAGTTGTAAGCTCTGTATTACCTTGTGGCTGGTGGCTCTGCTGTATTTTAGGATGGAGGGTGTAGAAGGACATAATGGTGCAAAGATGGAAGAAACTCAAGCTATAGAAGTAAGCCATATTCAAGAAATATGAAAAGGAATACATTAAGAAGACAGGGACATCTCTCTTGCCATTTGTCCTGGGTATGTTTGAGAATGGGAGAATAATTCAGGAAACTTCTGCAAATAGAAAACAGCTATAGTTGTGCTATTCAAATAGCACAACTTTGAATGACTCTGAAGAAATATTTAGAAGCATTTTGATCTGAGACCAAGAGTGAGGCTGGCAGAAGAGAGGGAGGATGGGAACCCCATGAGTCAGCTGTGGCCAGAGGGAACCCTGGTGTGGCTTTGAGGAGCAGACAAAGGGGAACTAGAAAGAGGAACTGGTGCTGCCTGGACCAGCCTGATTTGTGGGTTACCCATGCCAAGGGAAAGTGAGTGTCGAGTCTGGACTGGCAGTTCTTTCTTGTGTGGGAAGCCTTCACTCCTCAGTCAAGTGCCTTCAGCTCTCCACATGGCTAGCCCAACATCTTTGTTTGGGCCCAAGGCAACTGTTTCTTATCCACAACAAAACCTGAAGCCCCTACACTAAAGGCAGAAGCTGTAGGGGACAAAGTGGCAATGGCTCTGTCTTTAAAGTTCACTATTCTTGGTAAACATGATTGGATCCAGAGGAGTCCAGCTTCGTGAACTGTTATGGAGTGCCTTCTTAGTCTCTTTCAGATGGATGTCTGTGCTGTGTTTAACTATTGGAAAGATGTGCTCTCGAGTCGCTTTTGTTAAGGGAGTTTAAATGCAAGACTTTATTTTCATACTTTAAAAAGGGTTATAAAAAAAACATAAAGATACACATCTTTTAGTTTCTGTATGTTGAGGTGCCCTATTGAGGGTATAAAACCTTCTCAGAGTATACAGCCCTTGTCACGGGCC